TTAATAAATATTAAATAAACTGCACGCATATGTATAGGGTGATTCAATAAGAGCGCAGATGTTAGTAATGTGGCTATTGCTTCATGCGCTGTGTGGCAAATGCCACCGTCCTGTTGAAACCACATATTGTCCACTTAGATGTCATTTAATTCAGGTCATAGTCAAGTTTGTTATCATGTCATGATAACGTTCACCGTTCACCGTAACAGCGTTACCATCATTTTCGAAGATGTACGGTCTGCTAACGGCGCCAGCCCAAAAACCACACCAAACAGTGACTAGTTGTGAGTGCATACTTTCTGCTTACAGTGGGTGCAGTTTGGCTTGTTAAAGTAAAGTTGGCTTGTTAAAGTATGCGTTTAGGTGAGGTTTGGATAACTTTTACGCGTTGTTCAACTGAGTATCGCTCCATGACTAAGTTTGCCAAAGCCTATAGTACCAATTGTCTAAAGTAAAAATAAAAAATAAGAATTAACATATCACACATAGTTGCTGTCAATCTGCACCACCCTTGTATCACCCTATATGTATGTAGGTATACATGTTTTTCCAGTCTAAAAAACGGCTCGTTTGTGGAGTTCCCCTGCGAGATTATACAACAAATATTAATATCTTCAGTTCATTTGTTTATTAGTCACTGTGAATATATACGTACCCTCGTGTAAATTTTGATGACGCTTTTATAACGCTTTTTAAATAAATAAAATAATTATAACGGGGGGCGCACTATTACCCCCCGAGCCTAGACTCATACCTTTTTAACTTTAATTTTGCCCAATTCCGTTCGGCTCTTTTTATTTTTTTATTTTGATCTGGGTATTGAAAAAGGTAGTCGGGTTCCGTCAATAAAACACGCCTTGTCCGGTATCTTGCACGATATCGAATATTGCTTTATTCCGCTAACTGTTTACAAGATGGTGTGCTGGGCCGACATGCCTCAAAGGTATGGACACAAAACGCTTTATGTTTTGTTTACAATAACTAAGCACTAAATGCAAATATGCTATGCACCCCTACCTGTTTCTACAGCGTATTATGTGCTACCTTCGGCTTTTCAGACTCGCTTCTCGAACCTGCGTCGTGCGTCCGAAATGTTGTCTCTGCTTGTGAACATCTTTGCCGCCAAGCATTCCATTCAAGCCAAGTCAGTGCTACACCTTTAAACTTTAGACGCAATAACTATATATGCCAAGCGTTTCGTCACTTCCTCTTAACCGTCTACAATTGATGTGGTAGTGTGACAGACACCGAGGGTTCGAAATTTTTCCCAAGCTTCATTAGCATTGATTACTAAAAGCGTCTATTTTTCGTCATCTAGCTTGTTTATATGACTATTTAATTAATAAGTATTAAAAATGTTGATAGAATTTCCGATTTAAATCGAAAGCAGTTACGCTGAAAGTGTGTTAACTGTAGTCAACCATCGGTTCTTTTACTATTTCAAAGAGTACTTTGTTTACTTGCATTGTCTGGCGCTGCTGCTACAACTGTCGTCTGGCTTTCCATTTGTAGCTTTAACCTGAAAATTTCCACGTTTTTCCCAAAAAGTTGCATAGAGAAATTTTGCAAACTTATATAAGTTGGTCAGCACTCTGTATCTTTACTGCACATGCCTGTCGTAGCCTGCTCGGAGCTCACCGCCATTTGCACCGTTATTTCGGTGACAAAATCAATAAGAACTTGTTTAGCAGCTGCTCTGGAATTATTATATTTTTGTTGAAGCGGCTGCCTCGTGAGTTTTCAACTTCGAATATCCAACGGATTTGTAGTGCACTTGGAACTTTGTTGTTAAAATACTTGTTGTTCTTTTATTTTTGGATTGTAAAATGAAATGATAGTTTCCTTTTTGGTTGTTGTTGTTTCCGACAGGGTGGGTGTATGATGTATTATTTAACGAATTTCCGTCATCCCTTGTCAAATTTGGTTTGGAGACAAACCGGTTTCGGCGTTGTGCCATCTTCAGTGTAATTTTTCGTTCTGCATAATTTTTGTTGGTTGCTCGTATTGCTAAACTAAAACGACGTACCTAACAAAAGAAAGAGGTAGTTAACAAGGAGTATAAATACGAGCAACCAACAAAAATTATGCAGAACGAAAAATGATACTGAAGATGGCACAACGCCGAAACCGGTTTGTCTCCAAACCAAATTTGACAAGGGATGACGGAAATTCGTTAAATAATACATCATACACCCACCCTGTCGGAAACAACAACAACCAAAAAGGAAACTATCATTTCATTTTACAATCCAAAAATAAAAGAACAACAAGTATTTTAACAACAAAGTTCCAAGTGCACTACAAATCCGTTGGATATTCGAAGTTGAAAACTCACGAGGCAGCCGCTTCAACAAAAATATAATAATTCCAGAGCAGCTGCTAAACAAGTTCTTATTGATTTTGTCACCGAAATAACGGTGCAAATGGCGGTGAGCTCCGAGCAGGCTACGACAGGCATGTGCAGTAAAGATACAGAGTGCTGACCAACTTATATAAGTTTGCAAAATTTCTCTATGCAACTTTTTGGGAAAAACGTGGAAATTTTCAGGTTAAAGCTACAAATGGAAAGCCAGACGACAGTTGTAGCAGCAGCGCCAGACAATGCAAGTAAACAAAGTACTCTTTGAAATAGTAAAAGAACCGATGGTTGACTACAGTTAACACACTTTCAGCGTAACTGCTTTCGATTTAAATCGGAAATTCTATCAACATTTTTAATACTTATTAATTAAATAGTCATATAAACAAGCTAGATGACGAAAAATAGACGCTTTTAGTAATCAATGCTAATGAAGCTTGGGAAAAATTTCGAACCCTCGGTGTCTGTCACACTACCACATCAATTGTAGACGGTTAAGAGGAAGTGACGAAACGCTTGGCATATATAGTTATTGCGTCTAAAGTTTAAAGGTGTAGCACTGACTTGGCTTGAATGGAATGCTTGGCGGCAAAGATGTTCACAAGCAGAGACAACATTTCGGACGCACGACGCAGGTTCGAGAAGCGAGTCTGAAAAGCCGAAGGTAGCACATAATACGCTGTAGAAACAGGTAGGGGTGCATAGCATATTTGCATTTAGTGCTTAGTTATTGTAAACAAAACATAAAGCGTTTTGTGTCCATACCTTTGAGGCATGTCGGCCCAGCACACCATCTTGTAAACAGTTAGCGGAATAAAGCAATATTCGATATCGTGCAAGATACCGGACAAGGCGTGTTTTATTGACGGAACCCGACTACCTTTTTCAATACCCAGATCAAAATAAAAAAATAAAAAGAGCCGAACGGAATTGGGCAAAATTAAAGTTAAAAAGGTATGAGTCTAGGCTCGGGGGGTAATAGTGCGCCCCCCGTTATAATTATTTTATTTATTTAAAAAGCGTTATAAAAGCGTCATCAAAATTTACACGAGGGTACGTATATATTCACAGTGACTAATAAACAAATGAACTGAAGATATTAATATTTGTTGTATAATCTCGCAGGGGAACTCCACAAACGAGCCGTTTTTTAGACTGGAAAAACATGTATACCTACATACATATAGGGTGATACAAGGGTGGTGCAGATTGACAGCAACTATGTGTGATATGTTAATTCTTATTTTTTATTTTTACTTTAGACAATTGGTACTATAGGCTTTGGCAAACTTAGTCATGGAGCGATACTCAGTTGAACAACGCGTAAAAGTTATCCAAACCTCACCTAAACGCATACTTTAACAAGCCAAATTTACTTTAACAAGCCAAACTGCACCCACTGTAAGCAGAAAGTATGCACTCACAACTAGTCACTGTTTGGTGTGGTTTTTGGGCTGGCGCCGTTAGCAGACCGTACATCTTCGAAAATGATGGTAACGCTGTTACGGTGAACGGTGAACGTTATCATGACATGATAACAAACTTGACTATGACCTGAATTAAATGACATCTAAGTGGACAATATGTGGTTTCAACAGGACGGTGGCATTTGCCACACAGCGCATGAAGCAATAGCCACATTACTAACATCTGCGCTCTTATTGAATCACCCTATACATATGCGTGCAGTTTATTTAATATTTATTAAGCTATTGAAACCAAAAAATTACTTTGCCGAATTTTTAACGATTTTCCATACCTAGCAATGTGCGTGTGTGAGGGAATTATAAAAGCAAAAAAACAAAATATCAACTAACACAACAACTACATNATTCTTATTTTTTATTTTTACTTTAGACAATTGGTACTATAGGCTTTGGCAAACTTAGTCATGGAGCGATACTCAGTTGAACAACGCGTAAAAGTTATCCAAACCTCACCTAAACGCATACTTTAACAAGCCAACTTTACTTTAACAAGCCAAACTGCACCCACTGTAAGCAGAAAGTATGCACTCACAACTAGTCACTGTTTGGTGTGGTTTTTGGGCTGGCGCCGTTAGCAGACCGTACATCTTCGAAAATGATGGTAACGCTGTTACGGTGAACGGTGAACGTTATCATGACATGATAACAAACTTGACTATGACCTGAATTAAATGACATCTAAGTGGACAATATGTGGTTTCAACAGGACGGTGGCATTTGCCACACAGCGCATGAAGCAATAGCCACATTACTAACATCTGCGCTCTTATTGAATCACCCTATACATATGCGTGCAGTTTATTTAATATTTATTAATTAAGCCATTGAAACGAAAAAATTACTTCGCCGAATTTTTAACGATTTTCCATACCTAGCAATGTGCGTGTGTGAGGGAATTATAAAAGCAAAAAAACAAAATATCAACTAACACAACAACTACATGCTTAATTCCAAGATATGTATTTTCGCAATTGAATTTTCCCAGCTGGTCATTGATGTAAGCAAAAAATTCCTTTATTTTNGCTTAATTCCAAGATATGTATTTTCGCAGTTGAATTTTCCCAGCTGGTCATTGATGTAAGCAAAAAATTCCTTTATTTTCCACCTCACACAAATGAGTCAAAACCAAGAACGTTATCTTATCACGTTCGGTAGTCGACTTTATCAGAATCATATCATGGCAAAAACAAAAGGTTGGGCGCAAAAAATTACTACACTAACGCGGTCCATGCCCAGTATTATCATTTTGCAATTCAGTTCGGGTCGTTACGCTGGAAAGGGCTATCGCTTGCTGGTACAAACGTGGTCAATGTCATAGGAGGAGGCGCGAAATTGCGACAATTAAGAGGGCAGCCGCATTGTGCAATGCATTGGAATTCTAATATTATTTACATACATATATAATTTGTGAAACGATCATCCTAACCAGCTTGTGAAGACAAGGCGTAGGCAATGACTCGCAAACTTGCGAATTTGTGGGAAAATTTTGTGAATAAATTCTTCTTGTACGTGCCGACTTTTGTAGGTATGTAGGTGTGTTGCAAGCGATTAAACAAAAACAATTTATAATAAACGTAATACAAAAATATCAAGTATTAGAATTGCANTATTAAGCCATTGAAACGAAAAAATTACTTCGCCGAATTTTTAACGATTTTCCATACCTAGCAATGTGCGTGTGTGAGGGAATTATAAAAGCAAAAAAACAAAATATCAACTAACACAACAACTACATGCTTAATTCCAAGATATGTATTTTCGCAGTTGAATTTTCCCAGCTGGTCATTGATGTAAGCAAAAAATTCCTTTATTTTCCACCTCACACAAATGAGTCAAAACCAAGAACGTTATCTTATCACGTTCGGTAGTCGACTTTATCAGAATCATATCATGGCAAAAACAAAAGGTTGGGCGCAAAAAATTACTACACTAACGCGGTCCATGCCCAGTATTATCATTTTGCAATTCAGTTCGGGTCGTTACGCTGGAAAGGGCTATCGCTTGCTGGTACAAACGTGGTCAATGTCATAGGAGGAGGCGCGAAATTGCGACAATTAAGAGGGCAGCCGCATTGTGCAATGCATTGGAATTCTAATATTATTTACATACATATATAATTTGTGAAACGATCATCCTAACCAGCTTGTGAAGACAAGGCGTAGGCAATGACTCGCAAACTTGCGAATTTGTGGGAAAATTTTGTGAATAAATTCTTCTTGTACGTGCCGACTTTTGTAGGTATGTAGGTGTGTTGCAAGCGATTAAACAAAAACAATTTATAATAAACGTAATACAAAAATATCAAGTATTAGAATTGCAATAAGTGGCATATTATTCAATTAACTAATAAAAGTTTCAACTGAACTTTCGCAGTATGCATCACATTCCTACCATGCGGCCTCGTCTTCGGCTACACAATTTGCTCACTAATCGCTGAGCGTAATGTCAATGCGGGGCTCATTGAATATGGCCCAATGATATTTGGTGCTTGCACTGGCTGCGTGATTGCCGTCATCATGTTTTTGGTGAAATTCTATAAGGGACGGATCATTTTTTGGCATATCCCAATTTTGTTGTGCGCCGGTGTTAGTAATTTGCTAGCAAGTTGCTTCTACTTTGCCAATGGCTTGGGTAAGCATTATGATCTTTAGTGGATCTACATAGATAAGAAAATATAATTACATACTATCTATTATTAACAGAAAACGAATGCAATAGTTATTTTGCTAAATTTTATCACCTGCTAGGCTTTCAGCTCATATGAAAATATATACACACACATATATGTACAATAGGGTGGTCCAAAATGCACATGGGAAAAGTAGTCGGAATTTTAATGCTCTCACTCTCTAGGATTGTTCTTTACCGAAAAAATATACCCCCATTTTTTATTAAATAAAAAATATCTAGTATTGAAAAATGGAATGGAAATGAGGAGAACCAGACTTTTTCGATCGAAAAATATTGATTTCCTAGGCGATGAGAGCATTAAAATTCCGACTTTACTTTTTTTTTGATCACCCTAATGTATATAAAGTCTTATGAAAAATAATAGGAACACGACATTTTGGCTATTTTTCGTTTGCTTGTTTAATGTTTATTATTATATTTTTTTTTTATAGAATGTAGCTCATTATCTAACAACAACCCCATACACTTGTGGTCAGCTGATTAAGTCAAGAGAAATTTTGAAATTTCAAACTCCGTACAAAAATTTTGAAAATTCAACAAACTTTAACAATTGCACTAAAAAATTTTTAAATTTGTATGCAGAATTTCTAGAAAAATTTTGCGTGTGCAGTTCGGAAGCGCATTGAATTTTAGTAGGTTAAATTATTTTTTGTTTGCTGATGGCGCTAGGCATTTTCTCCCATGCAAACGAAATTGCCAAGCATACTTTATTAAATTATTAAAAATCAACGCGACTTTCTAGCGTCTTGAAATTTGCACCTTAACATTACTAATGAGCCACAAATTTGCACAACCAAAATTTTTCTAAAGATTTCGAATAAAAAGTTTAACATTTTTCGGTGCAATTGTTAGTTTGCTGAGTTTTCACAATTTTTGTGCGAATATGTGGATTTATGTGGCGCTGTAGAAAAATTTTAAAAATTCAAAAAAGTGTTACAATATCAACAAACGTTTTATTAAAAGTTTTGGAGTATTTTTCTAAATTTTCTACAAAGTTTGAAATTTACACTCAACTAACAATATGGTTTTTGTTAGATAATGAATGAGCTGTATTTTTGACAAGATTTTATTTAACTTGCTCAGTATGCATGTATGTATGTTTGTTAGGGGCAAATCTTGCAATTAATTTTTGACCAACTTCCGATAACCGATGACAATGCAATACGAAAGATGAGTCAATCCGATAGGTGGCGCAGGATTCAAGGTATTTTAAAACCCCGTATTTATAGTCCAATTTGGTTCATATTTAGAACGTATATTAACTACATAAAAAGGAATAACTCCATTAAAAATTTTGCCCATAGGTGGCGCACGAGTCGATATATTTGGTAAACCAGTATTTATAGTCCGATTTCGTTCACATTTAGAAAGCTTGCTTTAAAAATATATATTTTTACTATTAACTTATTATATAAAAAGATGATAAACATTAAACAAGCAAAAGAAAAATAGCCAAAACTGGTCAATATGGCTAAATGTTAATGCATTATTGGCATACAAAGTACAACGAATAAGCATAATATTTTATTGACACTAACAAATATAAATCAGCAATCTACGTTTCGTTCTAGGTAATTTATTATTGCACCTACTGTTCTAAGGAATGCACCCATATGTGTCCATACATACATACATACATACATACTATACACAATGGCTTTGGGCCAATAATATTTTCTTATCATAGCACCTGGTATTAATTGATTTTTATATACGAGTGGATACACTTTGCAGTTTTTCAAGTGAAAAATGAGTTTCAAAATTACTAGATATTTAGTTAACGTAAAAATACTTAATTCGTACAGTATACCGTATCACTTTACATGCAGATAACCTTCGAGTCTAAAGTAGTTATTAGTGTAAGGCAATTTCTCTATGGCCGCACCTAGCAGTCTACAGCGGCTCAAACAAGTGTTCACATGTTGATTTTTTTCTTTAATATTCACAATCATGATCCAATGTACAGTGTCGGACAAAACTAAAGTACAGACCCTACGTAGCAAGCGCTTAGCCGCATCAGCCTTAAGTTCCAAACAGAGTCAGACATAAGAAGACAAAGACGAAGCTGAAAGCGAATTGCAATTGACAAAATCTCATCAAATTTTTAGGTCAGAGAATGATTCGATTGTAAAATTAGGTAAAGCTTAGAGCTACTGTTTTTGATGGGATACACAACATTTTCATCTTCGTCTTCACTCGCGCTATGATAACTTTTCTTACAAATGCATTTGTTTACCATAGCACTGTTTTTCGTCTTTAGCCTCAAGTTGGTCTTTCATCTTGGGCCTCGATTCTATTTTGTTTGTACCTTAGGTCACGTTAGGTGGGGAGCATTTGCCTTGTTTGAAAAATGCATCTAAAGGACCAGTGTTCTGGGAAGTACCCAGTGAGTGATTGCAGGTCCTCTCTGCTTAAGTAAAGGGAATTTCGAAACTTCTTAAGATGAACAGATAAATCACTAAGCTTATATCTACCCTGGAAATGCAGTCGTGATTTTTTTTTTTTTTT